GTGCTTACGGCACAGTATCTCTTCAGGCGCTCACAACTAGCGTCATCTATGGAGTGAATCTGGAACGGCTGCGATGCTTTGCGGCACAGTATCTCTTCAGGCGCTTACAACTAGCGTCATCTATGGAGTGAGTCTGGAACGGCTGCTATGCTTTGCGGCACAGTATCTCTTCAGGCGCTTACAACTAGCGTCATCTATGGAGTGAGTCTGGAACAGCTGCTATGCTTTGCGGCACAGTATCTCTTCAGGCGCTTACAACTAACGTCATCTAGGGAGGTGATCGGAAACGTCAATCGTGCTCTGCGGCACAGCATAGTAGTCCAGGCGTTTGGCACTAGTACCATCTAGTGAGAATGGATTAAAGCATCCTGCAGGTGCAGATCGTTTGACGATTTGTGCTGCTGCCTGCTGGATACGGGGAACCGGAAACGCAATGAGTCTCTTGCTTTGAGCACCATCTTAGGACAACAAAAAACAGGACAACAAAAAACTGTGACTCATTTCGAGAAAAGGACTTTCTTTATCAGTGCAGTGAGCAGTGAAAGTAACTCAGTGTCCGTAGGTGAGTCCGTAAAAGTCCGTAGGTGAATTGAATGAGTAGGCTGCTGCACTTGGTTTTTATCGTCATACTCCCCTCAATAACATTCGAGCTGTGCACCGCTTCTGAGACTACACCCTGTTCCCAGTGCACACATACCCCCCCCCCCCCACACACACACACGGTCAAGCATCGATCACCAGAGGCGTCACTACAGACGCCCGGGGTAGGTAGGCACTGAGTGCACACGACCTGGGCGGGAAGGCTGGCTGCCGGTTTTGTTTATTAATTTTTTTTTGCGCAACAGCTCAATATTCACTTGTGCGGAGGGCCGCTGTTCACCCGCGTCGCGGCTCACAGCGACGGTCCGTTCGCCATTCACCGTGCTGCGGCACGCTGTCCTCCGTGTTATACCGGTTCGCTGTTTCCCGTGTTATGATGGCTCGATGTTTCCCGTGTTTTAACGGTCCACTATTCCCAAGTGTTATGAAGGTTCACCGCTCGCCCGTTTGACGTGACATCGTTCAGTACCTAAACCAAGGCTCTTGTAGCGAAACGACAAAATGAGCCGGACATGCAAGGACAAGGTCAAGGCCAAAATTATTTCGGTGTGCAGTTTTGTACCCAGGGACTGGGTGTGCTGCATAACTAAGTACCTACCTAGCTCAGTAATTCAACTCATTTTAGATTTGCATGAAAAATGCATGAGTTAAATGGCGATGCATTAGGTACGCCTTTATGGCCTAGCGCCGTTGCATCGTCTTTTTTATTACAAACTCATGTATACCTAATGACGTTCTGAGTGAAAGGTTCTGGAAAAAGGAAAAAACCTAAAGCGAGAGAGCATGGGTCAACGTGGCTCAATCACTCCGGTGCTACACCGCACCAACCTCATCGGAATAATTAGGCATGACTCCTATGAGTTGACCGTGTGCTTTATATTCTCATTAGTAACGTATTGCGATGCCCCGCTATCATTTCCCGTGAGACAACAGAGGCCTTGTGAGCTCACAACAGTGGTAAAACAAACAACAGTCAACCCTCGATCAGTATGTTTTTCAACGGATAGGTGAATTGACGAGTCTCATTCTGCTCTGAAACGTCGACAGATGGTGCATTACGCTACCCTTCAAAATAGACGAAGTGAGCAGCAGTTGAAGCTGTGAGCACTGAGCAGTTATAATTATTCTTTACCGCAGTGCCTGGGGTACATTTTATTTAAGTACAAATATGACCATCGGATGGCACTATGGCGACAAGCACCCGACGTTATCTTACCGATTCGAACTGAAACCGTACGAACACATCGTTATCTAATTGCCGTCTTTTATTTAGCGCTATCATAAAACATCGCAATAAACTTAACGTATCCACTTTGTATATACGTACTAACGATACCTATGTTGCCGCCAATTGACAACTTCTCCTACATGACATGTGCATTGTGCATCGTGGGCTATATAGCGGATAATGTACATTTTAAGGACAATGTATAATTATGAGTAGTTTTCCTATCTACTGCCCGCGATACTGACCGTGTATGGCGTCAGCTCAGGGTCCATATTGTCGCCTCTCCGCCACCGGCCGCCGGCCGCGGCCCTCCGTCCCGCAGAGCCGAACCATCGGCCGCCGGGCAGACCCGCTGTCACTCCGTCATGACAGGGTCCTGACCCGAGTCCCGTCAGGAGCGAGCTGTCGGAGACACAGAAATCGATGCGGCGACAGTTCTGAGTATATGGAAAACCGCTGTGCTGCTGTGCGTTGCTATGAGAGACCGCGAAATCAGCGCAAAGTAAGCATTACTTCTACCCATAACATAGTCACACACAGCTCCGTTTAGCGCTGTAGGCATAAAGCAAACATCGCACATATTTGACACACTCATGTCCCTACACGGCCAAGGAGCTATCTTATGGCCAGTTCTGTTTAAAGCCCAATGCATTTCTGCCGAAAGTTACACTTCGTCTTTGTGCAATTAATGCGTTCATTTTTACGCAGTTCTTTCCAATGGATAAGTGGGATTTATGACATCTGTTAGGGCCAGCTTCATTTTGTATTTCCATCAATCAAACTAAACGGCATAGATAACTAACAAACGATTCGGCGATAGCGATAGCTTTAACGATAACTTTTCCTTTTAGTCCACGACAGCCATCGCGAATTAAATTAAATGGCATCGTAGATATATGTCGAGCCGCATAGGCGGCGGAACGGGGAGGACACCGGGGCACCGTGCCCCCCTTTGATTTTGGCATTTTAACATTAGCCCTATGGGCGTTGCATGGAAAGAATGACCTCAAAAGTCGGCAGTGCCCCCCCCCCCCCTTAATTGAAGGTGTTCCGCCGCTACTGTGTCGAGGCACGGATAAGCTTCACAACTATTCACAACAGATGTCGCCTGTCATACCTATAAAGTTTACCGAGCAGGTTAACGTACAGGGTGCGTAAAAAGTTCTGGCCCTCTTACAGTAAGCGCCCCTACGCGTGCTGCGGTTGCTTTTCGGGAAGCCAATAGCCGCACGCAATATCTTCAATGATCCTGCTACACAGCCAGATGTCGAACAAAGCAGACCATTAACGGCCAGTCATGGAGGCAATGTCCGTGCTAAACGTCACATTGTCGTTGGATACCCGCGCGCGGCGCGGCCGAATCGGGCATGACTGTTGAGCAGGTTGCGATGAAATTTGGAGCCCCCTGCTAACAATTACGCGTATCAAAGCCAAATACGAATAGGGGAGGTCCTGTAGGATGCACCCAGGTCAGACCGGTCACGTCCAGTCAAAACTCTGAGAATGTGACTGCCGTGTCTTAGGCCATCCAGGACGGCCCACGGCTCGGGCGGCAAAAAGTGCCCAACCGTCTTCATTAACGCCAATTGGAAGATAAACGGGACGATGTATGAGCGTCTGCTTGACAGTGACGTCATCCCATTGATCCTGAAGACGTATCCAAAAGTCGATTTCGTTTTCCAGCGGGACACTAACACCCGCAAACAACGCAAGTTCCATCCAGCACAAGCAAACTGAGGAGCTCGGGGGAGAAGCCCATTGCTGGCTTAATGACCTATCTATTGCCCCCTCAGTCACCCGACCTGAACCCCTTGACTAAAGCATCTAAAGCGTTTTGTAGGATGAGGTCCAGGGAGTGTCCCATCCCAATTTGGAGGCCCTGAAGCCACACATCGTGAAGATGTAGGAGACGAAGGACCCCACCTACATCATCAAGACATGCAAGTCTTTCCGCCTCCGTGTGGAGAAGGTCATTGCCGATTAAGGGGGTAATATTGTGCCTGAGGCGAGTGAACGTATCTGGTTTGATAATGCAAACCATTATTTGGTGTTAGCGTTGATAATATTCACTCCGATTGCATTCGTTTATCGAAGTACAGAAATGGGCCAGAACTTTTTGCGCACCCTGTACATACAGCTTCTGAACCCTCAGCGACGGAGCTGAACTCACCTGGCAATGCGAGAGGAGAACCTGAGTGGATGTTCTGACACCCCGAACCTCTGCGCTATTTTGACCCGGTGGAAAGCACAGCAGCTTGGACGCATCCACTGCCCCCGCGCCGGGTGTATCTCTGCTGCACCTTTCACACCGAACTGTGCTGCACGAAAGTGTTCACACGCTAGCCTTATTATGCTTCAACTCTTTCTAACTCGCCAGGTCTTCCCGTAAACCTCATACACCTCGTATATCTCTCAGCGCTTAAATTGATTGAATGCGCACCAATCAGGCACCAGATTCTCAAAATCCGAGCACCGCCACTCCCAAGCTATCCACACAACCAGCGTCACCCGCGCCGTCGCTGTCACACCACTCAGCTGGTCTGTCGCCTCGGGCAGTCGGCGGCCGACGCCCCAGGCGCTGCCCCGACCTCACGTGTTCCCAGCCCACTACCTGCCGCCGGCGGCGGCCCGGTGTGTTTGGCGGCGTTGCTAAGCGACAGGTCGATGACGTGGCCGGTTGGCCGCCGTCTGCCACTGCGGCCACTTAGAGCGGACACTGTCGGAATCTCGAGACGGACGGTCATCAGGGAAACGGGCCGAGAACGGCCGAGGTCAGAGCGACGGATAGAGCTGCCGGGTCGGTGGATTGGAGGCGAAATGAGGCTTAGAAAGGAGGCTCAAAGGCTGCTGACTCGAGTTAGGCACGGCGCTTATTTGAACCTGGATGGGTCATGTGCGAATGACTGATTTCGGAGACAGCTGCTCTCTTTATATCCGTTCGATTGCTCGTGTCCTCAAACCTAGATCTAATCTAGGAAAAATCTTGTAACGTCCCTGGCAATGTGACCATGTGATTCGCAGGGTACTCACGTTGACAATGGCCTGGGAAAGCTGGGGAAACGCCGTACCCATATCACTTACTGATCTGTGTCAACGCGGTCTCGCAGGCAAAAAAAAAAAAACGGACTTAATTCTCCTGATCCACTCGCGAAAATGATGTTAAACTCCCTTCTTTGAATATAATATGTATTGTACGATCAGTTTGAATAGTGCAACAGGTCATCCACATACATATTTACACATATTTCAACAGCTTAGTGCGTAAGTCAAGAAACTGAGATGAAATGAAGAGGCAAGAGAGGCACGAGCGACAGTGTTTACCATAGACTCTATAGGATAAATGATAACAATAACACGTCAAATGTATATTTAAACACACAAAGCTTTCGGTATGAAAATACCTTGATCACTGTGTTAACAGAAATGAGGACAGAAACTCTTCTGTTAACACAGTGATCAAGGTATTTTCATACCGAAAGCTTTGTGTGTTTAAATATACATTTGACGTGTTATTGTTATCATTTATCCTAACTGTCTTGGATATTCTATATATAGACTCTATAGAATGAGGTGGAGTCTTCATAATAATTCGAATTATCTTTGGGCGTGTTGAATCAGTAACAAATATGAAAAAGTGAAGAGCTGAGAGATGCACAACAAAACTAGTTCAGTTGAGAACGATATGCTCCACTGCATCTCTATACACTTATTAACACTCAGCCCAAACTATAAACAGCGCACACTCGTCCCTCAGCACATTGCCCAATGTAGAATCTCCGGTATACAACAGCCGGGCGAACCGCCGGTCACTGGTCAGTCCCAACAACATCAGCGGTATCAGTCAACACTAAAATAACAGCCCGGCTCAGCCGTCAGGCCGGCCGGCCCGACACCGCACAATACAAACAACAGGCATCATGTCAGCCTAACCAGCACTGGTAGATCGGGAGCGGAGTTATCTGTCTCGACACGCGATCTACACGACATTCAAGAACAGCTCGAATAGTCACCAGGAGGTCACAAGCCGCGGGGAACCCTCGCTCAGTCGCTCGGTTCTAAGCGAACCCGCGCTTCTCAGATCGTGGCTCTGCACGACGCAGCGCACAACACTGCGCCGCTCATCCGTCTGCCAGCGGTAGAGCAAGCTAGTTGGATACGATTCTAGCCGAACAGACTCTGAAATCCTCCGGTCAGGCGCGTCCACAACCCGCTGAGCCCCGAGGGCGCGGCCGTGGGCGGAGGCGGAGCCAGCGGCGGCGGAGTGAAGTCGTGTCGGTTCACCTCCTGTGGAAGCACACACGTCAGATGTGTGGACTGGGGCGAGAGGTTTCACACGGGGGTAAAACTGAACGCCAGACTGACATACTAAGGGACCTTCCGCTCCGATACTCACAAGTATATCGGATATATGTCAGTACTAAGAACAGCACTGATATACTCAGGACACGAAGAAAACCTACGCTCGCATGATTAGTAAACTTGGGTGCATATGCAATATGCATCTGGTTTTACATTAACGGTACGCACCATTTTATAGCGCCTCACTGACCTAACCAGGGATAAGTGAGTTCACGGTCCCCGCCATTTGCTTGCGCTTTTGAGTACGTCTGTAGCCTAGTAACCATCAGCGACAGCCTCAAACAGACTTGATGGATCGACCGAGACTAAACTGACGACGCAACATGTCCCGGAAACAGCACAGTCCGACGGTACAACACGGCAGTGGAGCCGGCCGAGGAAGCCATTAGACATACACGGGGCGAAAGGGGCTCGATATTCGCCGGGCATGATACACAGCACAGCACCAAAGCCAGGCAATGCACTTAGCGGAAGCTCATGCATCATGGGAGGCGTCGAGGACAGATGCAGCGCGATAAAATCGATACAACAGTCAACGACAGTTTTTAATGAACATGCCTGAGCAGCAGGGCGCCAATGCTGCAGCGAATGCTTCTGAGAACGCTTTCAGGATCTAACGCTGGTAACTGGTGATAAAGCTTTGCCAGAAATGCCGATTGTTAGCACAATGAAGATATTATTTGCATGCATGCTTTTTAAATTTCTGATCGATAATGTTCTAGCCGCTTACGTCACACCCAACAGGTGTACATGGCAGCAAGAAAAGACACCGCTCCAAAGCCGAACTGCGTCTTGACAGTGCTGTGAACCACGGCCTGTGGACAGTGCCGCTCAGTGCGGCCTTCACATACTCGGGGCTGGCGTGACCGTAAATTATACATCGTTTGGACTGGGGAAATGGTTCAACAGCGTCCACCTCGCCCTACGTGAAATAGTTAGCTGTGACTGACGTTACATGAAAGATCAGTGTGCAGCAACCGCTCTATGACGGGCGACTAAACGAATGAATTTTTACTAAGATTTTGAGTAAGCGGAACAATACGTAAATGGTAATATGCGCCAATGGTTCTATGTATTATTTCATTACCAGAGATTGTTACCAGAGATTGTTGATGATTGTTACCAGAGATTGTTGTGAGATTGTTAGAAATGAGAGAGCAACCTGAATGTGATTACGTATGACTGTTAGATGGATGGATGCTGGTCATCGTCATCGTCATGCGTTTTAGCAAACATCACCAAGGCCATTCTTTGGCAACTGTGATTGTGTCGCATGAATATATGAATATATGAATATACCAGAAATGATATTCATAAAATACCCTATTATTGAACGTATAGGCATCAACCAGCATTGAGAACACTGATAATGCACGCAATATATAAACAAACAAATGTCCATAGACAAACAGCAAAGAAGCATAGATAGATAATGCATGAGAAAAAGCAAAAGGCAGCATTAGCCACATAAAGCAGAAATGTTGAACGACGCAGTAGGTACAAAAGGCGAAATGCGCGGCCTGTGAGCTTTACAGAGAGCTGCACAATAGTCATAGTGGAGCAAAGCAGAGGCGCATGGAAGCACTGGCCAAAGGTATCTTGATTGGAAGGAGCCAAACACTCACGTATCCCGACGACCATTTGTGCTTTATTTCGGGAAAAAGATCTTCGATCGGTCCTCAGCGGTCTCTCCCCCCCTGAGTATCGGAAGAAAATGTAATTGGCCATCTCAGAGGCAGATAACGGAAGATAGTTAAGTCAACGGTGTCAAAGTTCCGTGGTGTGTCCAGTCAACAGTTAAGTCTCGCCTGTTTGGCACTTACATTAGCGTGAAAATGGACGATTTTTACGCTTTTCAATGGAAGTCGCAGCTTTGGCGTGCCGAACTAACTACTGTGTCGGGCAGGGTTGTCGCAAAAACTATCAGCCGGTGTTTTTCAGTGTTTATCAATGTTTATCAGTCGGCATTGCTTCGTAGTATTGTGGCAGTCTCAACTACGAAGAAAGTTAGTCACCCGGTCGAAATCGTCATGCAATGAATTATAAATGTCGCGTTAGTCTAGTCAGCAGCACAAGGCAGGAGTCGTAAGAGTCGTACAAGATCCATAGACGGTCGGAAAGTCATGCGAAAGTCACTCAAGTCAACGTTCAGTATTGCTATTTAACAGCGGCATTCTATAATTAAATACAAACCACACTTGAACAGGCAAAGTTCCTAATCAGACAGCGAATTTCACACCATGCTACTTCAAGTGACCACGCCATACAAGGCGGGGTGCTAGTCACGCAGTACACTATGTGACTACGAGTACACAAACACAACACTCTACTGTGTACGAGCAGACATGTCGACAGCTACGTGCAGGGTCAGTCATCGACTCCCAGCCAAAATAAACACACACACACACACCACCTCACAATAACACACCAAGGCCCACCTACCCTGGCACACCATTCAGACCAAAACACGGACCCAGGCCCGGCCGGCGCCGCCCGCCCACAACGCGCCGAGGGAGACCACCACGGCGGGGGCGGGGGCGGCGGCGGCGGCGGCGGCCGACGGGCGGGGCGGCCCGTACGGCCTCCCCAGTGTCACGTGCAGGTAGTGCAGGGTGAATACGGATGATGTTGATGACTTGGGCACGCCGCCCTACGGAGTGGGGTCGGTGCGAGACAGACACACGATAGACCGGGCCCGTTCAGGCTGGTATGGCGAACACTTGGCAACAGTAGCGCCAAGTGTGACAGGTTTCGTCAAGATTGGTGCACGGCTCCTATACAGATACTGACACAACCGTTCTCGAACAACATAGTCACGGCATAGGATCAGATAGATATCACGGGAACACAGGGACGCACTGACAACACAAAGAAGTAACGTGACCGAACTCACTCGAGGAAAGACACAAGAACACGGTTTGGTAACGCCGCAATTTGCCGTCGGGTAAGCCCAAATGAAATGATTGAAAGTAAAGTGACTTCTAAGCAGGCCATGGTGCGGCCTAATTTATTCATTTACATTGATCATCCACCTTCCAGACTACACCATGTGTGAAAGTTCTCACATGTTTATGAAATCGCTAGCTGCACTCGATAGCTCGTTAATAAATCCATAGTCACACACCGAAAAACAACGTTTTCAAATGACAGAGACCACAAATAAAAACACACCAGTCAACCAGGACAAAGACTCCTATGGCAAGTTCCCGCTTGTCCAATATGTAGTCATGAAGAATACTAATCACTGTTATAGCCGGTACACATACACCAGTCACATAATCGTACACCAGACAGACACACATACTCCGGTAACATAGACAGCTACTGCTAGAAAGCTACCCACCCCGACCGCCATAACTCCTCCAAGTATACACCCCACCTGTCCGTTCCCCGAGTATACGCACCGGCACACGCTCCAGCAGGATGGAGATCTCAGTGGGGCGCTCCTCACTGACGCTGAAGGCCTGCTCACGCGGGTAGTAGCCCTCGGCGAACACCTGTGGGGGGTAGGAAGGATGGTGAGGTGACGCGAGCATGGCTGAAAAAAAGACACACCGGTAGGCGGATGTTCGCTACCGCCCGGCCGCGCGCGCGTGTGTGTGTGTGTGGGGGGGGGGGGGGGGGTGAACGAACAACGATCAACTGGCCGGCTGAAGCCCCATGAACTTAAAATCGCCTGCGTTTACAAGAGTTTCTGTCCACTGCGTAGGTTTATCCACCACATCAAATGATGTTCCGGAACACATGATCCACCCGAATATCCCAGTCTTGATACATACTGGATTGAAAGACCCGTACAACGACCTGTCGCCAGTCACGTGACCTGACACCCATCCAGGCGTTAGCAGACGCGTCAGGGAGTGCCGGCAACACCGCTCCGTGTCGCCAGTCACGTGACCCGACATCCATCCCGGCGCAAGCTGAAGCGTCAGGGAGTGTCGCTAACACCGCTCTGTGTCGCCGGTCACGTGACCCGACACCCGGACGCCAGCTATAGCGTCAGGGCGCGTCACTAATGACCCTATCGTGTTGTAAGACTACATATTTCGACGGATTATCACACAACGCTAGGACGTTCAAATTCCTTTATGGCCCGCATCTGTCACGAAAATGGGTGGGGCGCGTAATGACGAGTGCTACCGTCTGTATAGTGTTTCTGTACGATGTTTTGTTGAAAATGACAGGCGAGCAGGCGCCATAAAAAGCGAGCACATCGTACAACCTATCCAGCCGATATCCTAAAAATTATTCGCCGTGCGACTGGGAACAGAACAGACAAACCTTGCATGGGCTTGCATGCTTGTAATTACTCCAATGTCAAAATGACTCAGGCGAGATACGCGAGAATATCATCCAGACATTCTATTTTTGCTGGACAACTTGATTCAGCGACCTTTTTACTAAACAATTTATAAACATCACTTCATTAATAATTCACATGCATGCTATTGCTATGACCAATGACCATGATATCAATACCTAGATCACAGCCACGACTTGGCCCATGTAACACGGACATATCATTGGTCGAATCTGGTACACCACAGAGCTATTTCGAGCCGCACGACCTTTCGTGTGCTACCCCAGACTGCGCCGTCTGATGCGAAGGTCAGGGGACGACAGCTCAAGCTGCATGCCGCTGTCACTGACCCTCGTCGGTATGTGTGAGTCTTCGAGAGCTCAGGAATCTAGTAGTCAGGCACGGATCGGCTGAATTCCCAGCTGTCTCGTGTTCCGTACGATCCCACCCTAAACACGATCTCGCGAGTCCCCAGTAAACTCCTGCCGTCAATACCATTATGTTCCGTCCCCGATTCGGTCCTGCTACCCCTTACCCGTCCCACACCGTCCCCTAAACCGTCCCGTCCGTCTCATCTCACCTCCATCACATAGTTTCCGGGCCGCAGGATGCGCCAGAACTCTCCGTGCTGGGTGGTCTGGAATCCGATGTTCCTGCCCTTCACCTTCAGGCCGGCGCCCTCGATCGGGTTGTTGTTGATGTCGACCACGTAGCCGCGCACGCCGCGGTGAGCCTCGCCCAGGAGCTTCACCAGCGCCTGAGCGCAGGAGTGCGGGTGAGATAAGGACACACGGTGGAGCGGTGGAGTGGCCTTCGCGGGAGTGGAGGGGGAAGTGAGTGAAGAGAGGAGCAGGGTCACCAGCACAGTACAGACAACGCATACTTCAGTGGATGAGTCTGGATGTGCTAATTTGAAATAGCCGCACTAAGGACAATGTGCAACCAAAGAAAACCAATGCGTCACGAAATCATTTGACTAGTCCTACCCTTCCAGTTTTCACCAAAGGGGTCGAACAATACCCAGCCCAAAGGGGTCGAACAGTACCCGGCCCTATCACTCTGCCCTTCCCTCACGGACCCGATTATCAATCCTGCCACCCCCCACCCTTCCAATAAAACAGCAGCACCCACCTTCCTGTTATCCCTCCAGAAGCTCCTCAGCTGGCGCGCCTCGGGGTACTTGCAGCAGGAGAGCTCGAGCGTCAGCTCCATGCAGCCGTGCCAGACGTAGTTGTAGTCACCCATCCCTCCGGTCAGCGGGTACCACTTGGCTCCGTTGGTGATGCCGTCAGGGAAGCGTTCGGCGCCCAGTCCCTTGTTGGCGCACGGCTCGCCCTTGTACATTTGGCCGTGGTTGTACGAGTACACCTTAGCCAGGTGTCGGAGAGTGTCGTCATCAGGCGAGCGCGACTCCGTGGTACGGAACTGGCGGATCACTGCAGATAGAGGGGGAGAGTTAGAGAGGGACCGGTGAGAAGGGTAGAGCGGTGGGTGACTGCAATAGAAGGAGAGAACTGACTGGCCACGGCGGGCCGAGGTAGATTGAGCCTGAGGGACGTGTAAGACAGAGGGGGAGTAACAGAGGGACGGGTTGTTGGGGTAGAGTGATGACGGCGAGGTCAGGGGAAACGTGACCGGTGACGGACGTGAAAAGAGTCAGCTGGTGGAGTTTCTGAAGGAAGATAATAAGCGCTTAGGACATGACCAAGAATTCAGATGGGACAAGAATACAGCAGATGTCCGCGTCAAGTCAAGCTCACACATCGCAAAAACGTAACACGAATCGGTCGTCAATATCGAAGTTTGCGGTTCGGCGGGCGTTCCATTGTCCATAACCATCACCATGGTTACGAGATACCGCAATATGCCAGTTCAGTCCAGATCAGTCCAGTGTATTGCGTCAAACACGGATCAATCCAGTCCAGCATGGGTCCGTCAGGATCACATTTTACCTTCTGCTAATTCCATTCCCCCTCACAAATGACAATAGGATATCGAAACTAACACTACCACCCATAACATGAGAAAAGAAAAAGTTAAAGTTGACGGATGAGCAATTCACTACTTTCAGCAAACGTTATTCAGAATATAAACATTGAGCATAGTTGACTTGAAGGGGAGTCGAAAAACCATAGCCTTGGCATGCTCCAAGCACCAGCTCATTGAACCAGCCTCCATAAAATGCATTGCATCAGATGGGTGAGACCATGCGCAGGCGATCAAATTATCCAGGATGGCGTCTATTGAAGAATAATTAAAAGACTAATACGGTAACAGTGTCCCATAAGAAGCAGGCAAATCCATAGAAATCGGGACTAGGAAAGTTGGCCAGTCGGAAATGGCCACCATATCCTCATCTGCGCCAGGAGGGGGCCTTAGGAACAGAGCGAGAGGCAGGTCATACCTCGGATCGGCTCGCCCAGCGCGTTCCACACCGGCTGCACCACAGGGTCATACCAGGCGCGGCCGGTGCGCTGTGGCACGGGGCTGTCCCGCACGGAGTTACCGTCATCTGTCGGACGTCCGGGGAACCAGTAGTTGCTTAGACAGTCGCTAGGTCAGTCGGTCGGGGCTGGGTATTGTCTGGTGTTGAGTTAGTCGGTAGAACTTAGAACCAACAATTACAGAATAGTTTGAAGGATGATGACGTATAGAACGTTAAAATGCACCTTAAAGAAACAATTCGCCCGTCACCTAAGTATGTTTCGTTAAATCACCGATGACCGAACAGGGCGCGTGTCACGTCAGTCGTCAGCTATGTATGTGATCGTCACAAATCGTCACCCTGTCAAGCCTTGTTCAGATGCCAGGATCCGGGTAAGCGCTCAGCACAGAAGAAAGATAGAATTAAGTTTACATCAAGTTGAGAATGCATATAAAGCGTGTGCAATGAGCATACGTCTCAGTAGTTCCCACCGAACTGTGCCGGGAAAACCACCCGGCCAGTGCTCCGCTGGCATTATCTTTCCTCTCACCGGCGTTGGGCGTGTTGTCGAACGGATAGCTGGCCACCAGGGCACCTCCGTGCAGCTGGGCCGACAGCACGAACTGGATCTTGTTCAGCCACTCCTTGATCGCCTCCGTCTCCACCTGGCTCTTCTTATTGTTGGTCTTGAAGTAGTCCGGGAAGTTACGGTTCAGGTCGAAGCCGTTCGAGTTGAACCTGGAGAGTAAGAGGGAATGATGTGAGCCACCGACAGAAAAGGGAAATTTGTGACCACTGGCAATTAAACAGATGAAAGAAAAGACTTTTTCAGCCTTCTGATTGTTGCGTCATGATTATTACAGTACCATCACGTCCAGCGCTAGAATCGGACTCGTTTATGGCAAAAACCCACCGTTCTTCGTGACCATAAACCATTTATACATAACGTCATGAGTAATACCTAGTATGAGTTTTAAAATAACGACGAGACAATGGGCAATAAATACCCATAGCTCGATCCTGTAATTCAGAGAGTCATTCATCGCGGGAATTCTGCAAGTGTGAGAATTTGTCGACTCATGCCTTCTAGGTAAGCCGGGACGGATCACTGGAAATTACTGTTGGATTCTGGATGGTTTGAGGAAATATCTGCAAGCAGCAGGTAAAATATTTGCAAGGATGAAAATCAGACGGTCTGTTATAGGTCAATATGAGTCACTTTATATGAGCAATGAAACGACGGTAACATCTGCAGTACCTCAATCGGTACACTCCGTTCACTTCTTGCAACAGTAATCGTGGATAAGGGCCAACCGGGCCAGCCTCTATACGATCCGTCCTCAGGCTCAATTCCAATCCCTCGATATCTCTACCATTTCTGTTCCAACAGCAACATAATTAAATACGTGAATGTTGTCTGAAGTAACTGTTCTTGTTTGCCTGCTAACGGGATGCGGGTTAGCCTTGCCCTATCTAAGCTCATTTATTGTTCAAGGACCGCTGTTTCGAGCCAAACCCATCAGAACGGTCATAACGGTACTATGTTTGCTAAGGGCGAGTCTTGCAATGCCGCATTCCGATTATTGATAATACAGCAAACCTTGATCAAAGGCTGTCTGTATTTAAATTCAATCAAAACAACCAAACTGTCAGATCAAAGACGGTGTTTTAAATACCCGTTTTGAACGGGATGTGTCAGACGCCACACCTTTCTAAATTCTACATCTTACGGTCCCGTTAGAACAGAAGCTCTGCGGGCAGCGAGTGATTCCAGTTTGGTATATCGGGGCTGATTCCAGCTCAGCTGTGCGTCACCACTGGGTGCGGCTCGGGAGATAATTGGCCAATGAGTGACGGCTGGATGTGCCAGATCATCGCCCCCCCCCCCCCCCTCCCCCAGCCCCGCCCGCTAGCCGGACCCGCCCTGCCAGCTAGTCCGGGTACCGCCCTACCCACGGGCCTGACAACAGAACAGCGGCAAATGATCACCACCGGTCCCTTCGCCACGTGCAGTATAATGTAACACCATGTGCTCAAGGCTCCAATATACATAACACATATATTTACAGCCTGAGGTCTTGTCATCTCCAGCCTTAGGAAAGGAATAACTAATAACTCCTCCTGTACCAGTCGATTCCCGCTTTCTCTCAGGTTCACCCTCATCCTCTCCGAGCTAGTAACAGGGAAGTGTTCAGACGTGAGCCTTATCCAGCTGGCCCACCTCCCTCCCCGCCATCCAGCCCAACCCGGTCCGATCCAATCGTTCTATCGGTCAGTGCCGGCCGACCACCGTTCGTTCGGTCCGGGTTCTGTCACCGGACACGCTCGGCCGCTCTCACCATCCCACCCAGTCCCGCTGAGACCGGGAGATAAAATAACGGTGGGCGACTGACAGCAGATCGACCAATCGCGAGTCGGTAATTAACTCGAGGTCGGGATTCAAGACTGCGGACTCGAAAATCTGGGACTGGAGGACTTTAAAATTGGATCGGTACTGGGACTCAGAGATCGGGATTTAAACTCCGAAATCAAGCGTCGTGAGTCGAAGACCCAGTGTAACGTTCGTCAGTGAGGATAGGGTGCGCGGTGAACGGTCGCGGAGGCGCGCGGTACGCGTCCAACGGTACCGAACGCAGAGCCGTGAGGAGTCGTGACGACAAGGAGCGACGGAGCGGAACGGCCGCGGAGGCGAGACGGGGGCGAACGGGTGGGTGTCGGGCTCGGCGGCAGACAGTATGCAGACGGGACCGACAGGATGGTTGATGGTTTAGAAGAGACCCAGAAATGAAGTGTGAAACATTAGCGATGTTTGATGCAAAGAATAAAGCGATCGCAAGCCAAGCGCAACTATGAGAATGTTCTGTTGAGAAATCGCCTTGCTCCAGAATGTCTTTAATCGTTCAAATACTGATTGTAATGATGAATTTAACTGGCAGTTGTTTCCACAACATATCATCAAATCAAAAACAAACTAAACTGACTGAAGTGGAAACCAACAGGCGTCAGCAGCTCTCGTTCTTACGATTTAAATCCAACAGCCGTAAAAGTTTAACGACCTATGCTGGACGCTAATTTACGGTGAAAAGAGCAAATAGCACAGCCCACAACTGTGAGTTGCATCACTGCGATTAAAATGGGCCTGGATTTTGACGCCTTTCCGTGAACGGATATGACGCAAGGCGTGTTCGTGCACAATCAGAGCAGAGCGCTCAGCGTAGGTCCCGTGATAATCACATCAAAAACACCCCAAAAAATAAAAAGCTGAGTCAGCTATATGTAAGAGTCCAAATCTTCTTCGCAAAAGCAACGAACAATAGCATGAAACTTATCCAATTACGGTCATGCACATTACACATAAACCGGTAAAAGGCCAACTTTATCCCGTCTGCGTTGTCCCCTCTCCTATCTCGTCTAACACAGCAATAACAGTGGGAACGTCCGTCCCTCCCAGCTAACGCCGCCACCATCCCCGACCAGCTCTGGTGGCATACCCCGACCTGACCTGACTTCATTGACCTCACACTCGCCACCCCTGACCTAACCTCACCCCTCCTGTGACCTCCCAACTGTCACCACTCACCTTCCCTGGCCGCCCTGGCAGGAGCCCTCTCGGCTCACTTCGAATCCGTCCGGGTTCATCGAGGGCATGATGTGCACGCGCGTGTTGTCCAGCAGCCAGCTGACGTACGGGTCCGTGTTGTACCGGGTCGTCAGGTACTGGGGACAGAAAGTCAGCGATCAGATACAGTGCATACTGTATACTGTATATGTTGAGTCAGTGGGGTTAGCACCTACATACTCGTATATGTGGCTATGTGAGTACAAAATGAGAGGGCTAGCAGGTGGTCGTTTCAGGCAATATTAAGCGCGCTTTGGGAGACCGTGCGATGGTAGCCTCTACTACAGACATGAGGTATCGAATTACGACAACTCTACTCCAGGAAACGCAATTACTGATGCGAAGGTCGAGAGGCACAACACTGATTGAACAAAACAATGAGAGTCAATCGACAGTTACAAGCCACAAATCACTTCGTGAGACAAAAGGACACTTCCCGAGCCGACATGCGACCTCGCAGTTGGCTTCGGGCTCGCGTGCGGAAAATGAAACCCAATGTGTCCGCATTCATATCTAACATATGTCACGAAATCCACCGTGCAATATGATTCAGGGACTTATATAACTGATTGCGTCTCATAGATTTTAAACAAAGGACAATGCATCGATTTGAAAGGATAAGGTAGCTACTGTGCGTAAATGTTTAAACAAAGGACAATGTGTCTATCTGAAATGATAAGGTAGTTACCGCATCTTATCAGCACGCAGCAGGACGCAATTGCCAAAATTAAAATTGGCAGCAGTGCGTTTTCAGTTAGCCTGTAGCCACTATCATCGGTTTCCCTTTCCCTTTATCCTTCCCATACAATTATGATTTTCATTCAGCCACCCAATCGGATTTGCATCGGCCAGACGCGCTCCCAACAAACAGGCTGACTCGCAGCGCGACAAACCCGCCGTTGCGCGACACAGTCATGTTTTGGGTGCTGTTTTGGGTCACGGTCACCGTATGAATCCGGCTACTGCCACACAGGAGCAGGCGGTCGAGTCAGCAGGGACACAGGCCGAGCTACCGGCTACCGGCTTGGTTAGGTAGGTGAGATCGACCGTTCAGCAAGGCCGTATATATAGCCGTTTAGTGCCGCGGGCAGATCAATCTCATGAAGACACACAAGAAGCTAATTGCTGATCTATCTCAGGGGTGGCACTAAGGGGTAGAGCCATACCATCATGAATACTGATGGATAAGAGCGGAGCCTTCCCGAGAAAAACAACGGGGGGCAAGAGCGAAGGCAGCTTTGTGCCGGCACAATGGCGATATGGAGAACGGAACTGAGAGCCGTCTCGCAGCGGGTCGCAGGTCGCGAGCAGACTAACGGAGACGGAGGCGCTAAACATCGTCTATGTGGTGGTGTGGGCGGTGCTGGGCGACGGACTGTTGGCTTTGTGATTTGGGAGAATTAGCTGAATGCAAATGCGGATAACATACTAGCACGTCAATTGGTTTTAAAGTGTGGCAGAGGTGTTTGTAAAAGGTGGATGATAGTCAAACTATTCTATTTACTTTTCTCATCAGTTGACGCCAGAACGGGTAGCAAAATGGGTAAAATATGTATGAAGTGTTCCTTTTGTGTGACCGAGACCCAATCCAAACAAAACACGCTCCGCCTACACAAAAGGCGAGACTCCCCACCCCTACACGTGCGTGGTCTCTACGTGCGCGAGCGAGCGCACACCTCCACAACCCACACCGAGCGCGGCATAGCGACGACGGCTGGGGCGACTGACTGGACACGGAAATCCCGCACTGGACGGCCAGCCGCCGCCTCGGGCAAGCCGGGTCCTCGGCGGCACGGGATGAGCCGCCGCAGCGGCCGGGGTTTCCAGAGTGTCCCCTCCCTGCGCTCAGGGATTTCTACCACATTATGGGCCCGTGAGCCAGCCTTCCCACCGCACGCCGACTTCCTCTGAGGCTGCCGGCGTGGGAACGACCAAGATTACTTTACTAATACGACCGACTGCCCGGGAACGACCGCCCTGGAGAAGCCCAACGCGGCGGTAGAACTGGGCAACCGCACCGCTGCTCCCCGTCTAGACTGGAAGACAGTGTACGGATTACAGGGGATTTTTAAAGCTCGCCGCTCGCACCTGGTTGTAAATTCCCGGCGACGTCACCAACTTACCTCGATTAGGTGAATGAGAACCTCTCGGCCGATCGCCTCGTTGCCATGAATGTTGCCGACGTATTTCACGTTGGGCTTGCCGATCATATGCTCGTAGGGTGAGGCGGAGACGACCAGAACCCAGAGTTCACGACCTGGAGCGGGGAGGGCGTCGGTGAGCCTCACTGCATCACTAGCTGCACATAACCCGACACTGGAGTAACTAACGGCTGCCGCCAGGTAAACCGAGCACAACAATCACCGCTGACGTCAAGGGATATGTAAACAGAGTCGTCGGTGAATACGAAAACCATTAGAAAGGCAGCAAAGAATAGGGATTGCTGAATCATTACAAAATACAAATGGCCCTCCAATGTGTTTATACGCAGCGTAAAACCAAGTTACCGACTTTTTTCTGCCGGACAATTTATCGGATAGGCAAGGACGCTTATGTTTGTAACGGTAACGCGATAAGAAACAAATCATTGTGAAGTTCAGTTACAACGGTGATTTGTACGAAATACAGGTGAGACATCCGTTTTCAGTAAGACTTATAATAAACATTTGTAAGGAAACCGGTAATGGTAGGAAACCTTAATTAATGTCCAGCTCAACTGGGATCAATCAACTGAAGCGGTAAGCAAAGATAACGACTTCCCATCATTTCCGATATCATTGAAGAAACACTTAAAGCATGATTTTTCATCTGTATCTTCACTGAGCAAAACTGAATGCATCAAACGTTTCAATGATATTTATCGCAAAAAGTTAACACACTTTATGAAAAATCAAAACGCAACCTGCTAATTGTTCACTTCATACAAGATTCAGCAGAGCATTCCTAAGTCATCGGTTAAGTAGCAGCTCTTCTTACTCTTAGAGCTTGACGGTCACCACGACAGACACAGAGCTTCATCGTGATAGTACAGCGGATGAATGGAACCCACCTTGAACTGAGGTGCCGATCGAGTAGAGTGCCGTGATGTCCGGCCGCTCTGCCGCCACCTTCCGCATGTAGGCCGTCAGCTGGTCGTAGTTGTGGTAGCTGAAGCCGACAGAGTCCGTCTCACCGTCCTGGAACTGCGGGTCGAACTGGGGCGGCTCGTACGCCGGCGCCTGGCGACCCTCGGCCGGCAGCAGGGGCCGCGGCGGCACCTCGGCGCCTCGCACCTGCTTGATCAGCATCACGTAGAAGTAGAGGAACGCCACCAGGAAGACGCACATGTACCACTTGGCCGTCCTCATGGCGGTGTGTGGCGGCAGCGACCCGCTGCGACTGTGAGAGGAGCGGGGGGACATGGCCGGTCAGTGGAGGTGTCCGGTGGTGCTCCGCGGGCTGCCGGGGGCACACTGCAGGCGCACAGAGCGGGGCGACGGTGGACGCGCCGCGCCGGCGGCAGCGGTCGGGGCGGGGCCTGCAGGGATGCGGGCGGACCGGGGGGCAGAACGGGGGGCAGGGGTAACCCAGAGGTAGACGGCGTAGAGACAGGACAGCGAGGTGAGCAAACAGCCGAGGTGAGGTAACGCGTCACGCGTCACGGTCACGGTACGTGACGCGGCGGCCGTGGACGTTGCAACAGGGGGCTGCCACGGCTGACGGCGGGCGGGACTGGACAGAAGGCTTTCACTCTTCGGTGAGAGAAAACAGAGCGGAAATGGTCGAATGATGCACTTTCGAGTCCCCACCCCTCCCCCTCCGAGAGAACAGCTAGGTGTTGTAACAGTGCCCTGAGTCTGGGTAGTGTTAAAATCGGCCAATCGTCAAACGAAATCCACTGCATACACGAAGTCCTTTGGAAGTAAACAACTCATACGTAAGAGTCAACGCATCAGTTTTTATCAACAATAAAATCGGTGTGAATTCCGTAGAATTCGAAGCGCAATTGTAGCCAACAAAAGATGCAAAGTAGCGCCTTCTAGAAGTACTGCTCAATGCCACTGACAAGAAAATTGTAGAAACTCTTCCGTGTTAGGGCTTATCATATCTGTTTGTCCCCGAGGCCTGACATGCCATTTATATAGCTGGCACCTAATTCAATATACCCTGTAGCTGGCATACCTATGCGCGATTGCACAGTTCATACAACCACTAGTGCCGCGTTCATATCATTTCATTCCAGGAAGTGTCCTCAATAGTTTGCCATGCGCCTCCCTTATCCCCCGAGCTGAGACCGCCATTCAATGCTGATTAGCCAGACGGCGAAGGATGCACCGGCAACAGAGGGCCTTCAGCAGTACACCGTCAGCAGGGCACCGCCAGCAAGGACAGGTCTGACTGTCTGCTGATGAGGGGCCGGTGACGACACATCACACCGTCTGGGGTCAATGGGATCGACACACAGCGCTTCCAACGGTCACGGAACGGAACGGTGTGGATTGGCACGGAACGGGGCGGGGCGGAATGACACATCCAGCAGCGGAAAAGTGCAAAGTGCCTACCTACCACGGAAGTCACAGAGAGGACGGGTATATAGGTAAATGTACAAAACGATGTAAAAATTGATACGATAAGCAGTGGCGGATCCAGCTCAGAGTTTTTTTGTTTTTTTTTTGGGGGGGGGGGGGGCAAACCATAACAATTTATCGATTCTTTCCATGCCTCGCGCATAGGCGTAATGTTAAAATTATGCCGTTTGGGAGGGGCAAATGCCCATTTTGCCCCCCCCCCCCTGGATCCGCCACTGACGATAAGAACATAACGCTAGTTACGGTCTAAAACTGGATATAATGGAATGGAAGAACGGGAGTCCGTCCAGAGCCAGAGCGATGGGCTTTCACGTATGGTTGGAGATAATGAAATATCCAACACAGACCGTGACGAGTGACATCTCGTTACCACGCGGTTCAGAGGACATCACACTGACACATGCATGACATAAAGCCTGCACGACGTGGCTGCGGACTATAACGTCTACTGCCCCGAGGTTTTCGGTTTGATCCGGTGTGCACTGCGCAGAGTCCAATCTCGCATCAGTGCACCCTCTCAGTAGGGATGGGCACGATGATGTACTGCCGTTGGTCACGCCCGCCGCACACCCAGCCTACGGCTCATCTCCGAAACATTCCTGGACAGCAGCCAGGCGAGCCGCGCCCAGAGCAGCGACTGTAATTCACACCAGAGCCTCCCAACACGAGCTCACAGCAGCACTGATCCTCGTGGAAACCGACAACCGTGCTGACGATATGGATATTGTTTGTGACAGTAATCCCCATCTAACGAGGGTGGAGAAGCATAGTAAAATCCGTTGAAGCTTCTTAGCTGCCATCATTCGTCACAATGTCACCTTTGGAGGACACATTAACGACCTACATTCACGACTTCAGCGCACAAGACTGTGGATCTCCGAGAGCGGAGTTGTTCCATCCTCAGCCCAGTGACAGGGCCGGGAGGCGGATGACAGAATGGTGACGGACATTAGGACGGCACGCATGGTCGAGCCCCACACAGACACGGCGTATGGCTCACAGAATCAGACCGGTAAGTGCTCGGCACCGCCTGACCGGGTTAGGAGCCGGGAGAAGAAGGGGGGGAGGGGGAGGGAACTCGGAGAGACAGGTCCGCCTGCCGACGGTGCCGGTCGGGAGATTCTGGGAGGAGGGAGGGGATCACAGCCGGGGCCACCCATTAGCGGGTTCCGCTCGCGTCTGCCGACGCTGCTGGTCGGGACGGGACGAGACGGAACACCATCACGTTGTGCTGAGTGGGCGAACAATCCAGACGGGAACAGAATAACAGAATGATCAGCATAGACAGCGCCAGCGGGAATGACAGAGAGGAGACAGCGCGGCAGACGACCCAACGGCTGACGGGAAAACAACGGGGACAGACGAGCGCCGGCCGCCGAGGGGCAGAACTGCGGGTCAGTTCAGCGCTGAGCATTATATGTACAAATACCGATCATCCAGCCTCCTACTCCTGCCAGCCATTAGAGACGAGCAAGGTAATGATGGCCCCAGCAGCCACATGTTCTATTATTGGCCTCCCAGCAATTATTCTGAAATTAGTATCAACAGACGAAACGAATCCCTACAAAAAGACGAACTATGCTCAATGCTCATATGACGGTACGGAAAAATACGAAATTGGGAGGAACAGTGACCCAGTAGCATCAGATTTGCAGTGTGACGCTTTCACCACACAACAAAAGGAACACAAGTCACGAATAGGCCACAAACAATGGCCGTAAAACTGCCAATCGTGCGTGCCTGGACTCCATCATTTTAAATGCCACGGACTGAGGTTCATGAAATATATAATGATGTGATTTACTGAGCTTTACGGTAAAAACCCAGATGATGGCAGCGTATGGTTGGAAACTTCATTCATGGTCCTAGAAATCGTTCGACGTTCCATTATCGTGGAGACTGCAGTGAAGGCCCGCCCGTCACTGTGGCCCAGTTTCTGTCACTCCCACATTGGAATGTGCTGTGTACGATTCCGAGTCAACCCTTCACGGGCTCGTACTAAAGAGACGTGGACCGTCCCGGAACCGCCCGAGGCTACCCCTCAAAATAGGCCGGCACGATGCGGACAGCCCTACTCAATGGGTCTGTTCCAGTCGCACTTCCTAACACCTCTATGTAAACTCCTCCAAGATTGCTTCCCTGTTCCAGTGGCAGCTCTAGCCCCTACAAAGCCAAGGAGGGCCCTGCTCCAAGCTCATCTATCTTGCTCTTGAAGGAGCTTAAAGGTGTTAGGAAGTGCGACTGGAACAGACCTATTGATGACAGTCCTCTGGAACGGGACGTGTTACGTCGGAATGTCACCCGAGGTAACCATACACCATTGAGAGCCTCTATCGCGACCTCAGCATGGGTTTGGGCGGAAAACAGCTCGTCAGTGCTCTTTCAGCCCGTTTCTGACACACCCCAGTGCATAACCACCCTTAGCGGCAGCGTCAACCTAACGGACTGGCGGTGAGTCTTCCCGGTACACCGTACCCCATCCGACACGCTTTGTGCCTCCTCACCCATCGACCCCGCCCGGAATGGTGCCGCATCCCGCCCGGCCCGCCCGCCTGCCTTCCCGGGCGGGTGACCGAGCGAGGGATGTAGGTCACCGGTGCCCCGCGGCGCCCGGCCGGTGACGCCAACGCCGCATCAGCCGGTAACACGCGCGCGGCCGCCCGGGGGAGGGAGGGGGGAGGGGGAGCGAGGGCAGGCGGTCAACGTCCCCCGCGGTCACAGGTGATTGTAAAGGCAGAGCGGGCGCGCTGCTGTATGCATGCAGCCGGTAAAGGAAGCAGATGCAGCGTCCGGTATGCAAAATGCCGGCCGTGCTGAGCGAGCCGCCGGCCAGGGTCGTTGGTTGGTGTTTGAGAAACAGGCGGAAGGTGTGGAAGACTGTGGGACCAGAGACGCGGATGTGATGACCCGGGATTCGGGAACGAGGGACAAAGAGGGACAGACGAAGTTCGTCAATGGTGTGGATGACGGAGGCTAAGTGAAAAAGGTGTCAAATAAAACACCTGCCAGTAATGCACCAGCAGTCCTATCAATCTCCGAAGCGATAATTAATATCATACGTTTTAGTAAGCTGGAATCCATAGAACCAGCAAACGCACCGTCACTTTCATCAGTGTGCAGCCAGCGCATAACGAAAACATAGTAGGTACATTCAGGAACACAAAGATGAGCTCGGTAGGATTGGAGGAGCTCTAAGGTCTCATGGAAGCCATTCGACCCACTGACCAACATCCGCGCCCACATTGTGTGACGAAACATCCAAGCGACAAAAACAACTGCCCTCCCCAACATTTCCATCTGGTGGGAGTCGCCTGTTAGGTATGAAAAACTAGAATAACACGTAAGGTCGTGCGCCCTAAAACCTCAATAAATTCCGCATTTGGGCGTGAGCGGCCTTCAGTATACGGGCATTTTAAATGGCGCACAACAGTGACGACTTTCTAAACTCCCATGGTGATATAAAGAGGAAGCTTCGAGAAGTCTCCAGCAATCGCTCCCATTCACTTTCCATGACTGCCGGACAGCAGTCCCAGTTTCACCAGGAGAGAAACCGGTCGGGAGATTCTTTGTGCCCGCTAGCTGAATGACCAACGCCTGGCACCAGCTACCAGAGTCCGCTCTTATCAGAAACGATGGCAATATCCGCTGATTCACCGGTGGCAAACCCGACCTGAGACGGACCGGCTGACCCGACCAGACGACCTCGTGCTTGACCGCTGTGTGACGTGAACGTCACAGATTGAACAACCTCGTCTGACCGGCTCGCACGCACACAACCAGTTGAGTGGCACGCGTGGCCCGCATAGCACA